ATTTATATGTCTTCTGGTGCTATTCTCATCTGAGTCATTTTAGCAATGCTTATGTTATATCCTCTTCCTGAAATGGACATTCTGTCTTAAGTTGACTACATACTAATTGGCATTTTGATAACTTGCATGCTGCTTTCTACACATGACTTTTCAAGCTTGCTTAAATATCTGTGGGTTCTTTCCATTAGAATGTGAGTGATTAAAAGTCAGGAGGCTGGCTCATAAGTCTCTTTGTACAACCAACCCTCACTTCTGCAACAGTACCAGTAAAAATAAAATAGTAAAAAAAAAAAAAAAAGAGATGTTTTATTTAATTACTCAACCAACCCTACAATATATCAACCAGCTGCCATTTCATTAAAGCCCTGGATATCTCAAAGATTTACTCAGCATCTCTGTTTCAAGGGGATGCGAAAGACAACATTTCTTAGTGGTTACCAATTTTCAGTTGAAAACAAAGATGAGACCACACCTATCTAGGACACCATAATCAATTGCAGTTTTGACATCTACCAAGACACAGTCTGCATTTACTAGAACCTTGAAGACCATAGTAAGCCCGCTCCATTTTGCAGCACACCTGTGCCACACAGGAAGTTGCTACTCTCCTATTTCCTCCCACAGATGTGTTTATGTTATTTGGTGTGTCCTCAACTCCACATTTTTTTTTTCCACTGGAAACTATTCCCTTGAAACCTGTCTGCTCCATCCTCTGAAATGATATTTTCCATTATAAAGGAAAGGCCCTGAATCTCTTCTGGAAGCATATCTCCTTTACCAGTCTGCCTTCCAAGGATGTGGCAACCTTTGGACTCTTTGTGTAGAACAATCATCAATTCTAGAAAAATTTGCACTAGGTCTTGTTATGAAAGTAAGATTTGGCTGCTGTTAGATGATCTGAAATTAATATCACTGAGCAGTGGAGATTTCATACTATAGTTACTATATATTAAGTTAGAAGCACAAGAGATACTTCAAAACCATCTTTTCTCGCATTATTGAGTCTTCAGTTTTAGGATTTTATCAATTGTCTTTCCTTAATGATCCTTCTGCCTGATGCATAGTTGTTAATTATTGTCCTAGAAACCCTTTTCTTTT